TGCTTACAATAGGGCACATCTTTACACATGAAAGGTTTGATTGAAGGCTCGTAATGGAGTTGCATTGTGTCCAAATCGATGTGATATTTACGGCAAACAAACTTATCCAATGACCTAACCTTATGGAAACAAGTCCTCTCATTTAGTTTATATATGGCCTCTTCATTGGGAACGTTCTCGTCTGCAACCAATTGAATTGTTTTAATTATTAAAACATAACAATTATATATTAGTAAAATTTTACAAATTAATACAATTATATAAATATGTTTTTATACATACCGTTAAACATGCCCCGAATACTTCTGGCACTTTTAGGCCTCAATCGACTCCTTCTGTTAGCAGTGGCTGTGTTTCAAGTTTTCGACAATTAGTTTTAATTATGTCTATTGTTTTGATTATTTTAATTTTGAAGTTTACTCTTGTTATCTCTGATCACAACTCAATCACATATAATAACGTAAATAATGGTTCAATACTGACCGTCCGGTATATCAACCACTATTTTTTCATCTTTCTTCCGCTCTTCTACCTCTTCGTCCACTTTAATCAGTTTCTCCGTCTGTTTGCTATCCATTCGCACAAAACTTATTCCTCGCATTAAAATTTTGCCTTTTTGTACAGTATTTTTTGCATAAAAAATAAGTTTTTAAAGTAAGGTATTGCTATATATTATGTTTGATTAGTCAATTGTCAATTTTAAATAGTTTAATAAAAATTACACTTATAAGTTATAAATGATATTTAAAAATAGTACCTGAAAATGTGTGGTAATTATTTATGAATGTAACACTTATTAATGACGGATTGCATACATGTAATGTCTGAACAAATTCATTAAAATAGTACCCGTAATTGGATATTAGATTTACTAATATGGTAACTTTTTAATTCAATTTTGCAAACACAAATAGATGAGTGTCAACTTGGTAATAATATTACCAAATATCATAAACGTGTTAAATTGTAAATTTATAAACTCAAAATAATCAAATAATAAATATAGTAAACATGATATACTGAATGTTTATTTTATGATAACAACAATAATTGAGAAAATGATATTCATATAAATGATACACGAATTTAAATTAAATGATATTCATATACCGGTATTATTTTCAATGATTACATAAAACATTAAGTTTTGATGGCATTTAGCGTACGAAATAAATTGAGTTATAAAAAGTGGTGCAAAAATCAATGAAAATAGAGATAAGAGTTATATCTTTATCGCAAATCATTACAAAACTAAATAATAATATAAATTATTGTATTCTTTTATTATAAGTGCTATAAATAATTTGATATAAACTAAGGCAACGGTTAAGAGTTGTAAATACCATACAATGATTTACAGAATATAACGATTGCCAAATGATTTTAATTTATAATTGAAAGTTACGTTATATGATTTTTTATCAATGATCTACATTTTTATCATTTACTGTATTACATAATGCTTTCTCTGTTTATATACTTTATTGACTCTTATTTATATTTTTAACAAATTCAATGATTTAATGATAATATTGTCACTTTGTGTCAAAATTAAATAAATAATCAACATTTTTATTCAGAAGTACACTTATAATTATAAGCAAACATTATAATTATTTATTTGCAAAAACTGATAATATTTTCTTCATATTTTAAAAGATATTCAATAATATTTCGTTTTTTAATTACAAATTTTAATTAATTAATTAAATACCAGTTAACATATATAATAATGTATGTAATGTAATTACATTTAACACTTAATTTACATTACTATTTGCAGTAAACAAATTAAACAAGAAATAGCATTTCTGTTGCCACAAGTAATTACTCAATCTATTCGTGATTTGAATTTTTATAAATATATTTTATTATTCATTGGTTTTAACTGGAATTTATTTTTTAAAAACTATATAATAATATATTTATTGGTTAAAACAGTATATTGTATTACAACAAACATTACATGCATTTTATGCCTTATATAATGAGAGGAATGTTATCAACGTTTATGACCCGTAAACTAATACCAGTTCCCAAAAAGGCTCTCAAAATGCTTATGAAACTTAATAAAAGTAGAAATTATTTGAAAAATAACTTTTGATATCATACTGTCTGAGTTGTAGCGATGGCTGAGTTCTGCCAAACAATACATGTTCACAGTTTTGTGTGAGAATATCGTCGGAAATAATACTGACAACAATTTCTGACCAAAAATAACGATAAGAAAGAAATATTTTTATTTAAAGAGAAAATATTTGACAATAAGTTTGCAAATATAACCTCTGGTTCTCAGACGGTCTACAAACTGAAAGCCAGTCAAGAGATTAGTATCGATGACAACATTACTGATGAAAGAGAGAGAGAGAGAGAGAGAGAGAGAGAGAGAGA